GCAGCCACTGTGTCAATCCATCTCATTGAGGGTCTTCCTCTTTTTCGCTGACCCTCTACTTTACCAAGCATGATGTCCCACTCCAGAGACTGATCCCTCCTGATAACACGTCCAAAATATGTGAGACGTAGTCTCGCCCTCCTTACTTCTAAGGAACATTCTGGTCGTACTTCTTCCAAGACAGATGTGTTTGTTCTTTTGGCAGTCCACAGTATATTCAATATTCTTCGCCAACACCACAATTCAAAAGCGTCAATTCTTCTTTGGTCTTCCTTATTCATTGTCCAGCTTTCGCGTGCATATGAGGCGATTGAAAACACCGTGGCTTCGGTCAGGCGCACCTTAGTCTTTAAGGTGACGTCTTTGCTTTTCAACACTTTAAAGAGGTCTTTTGCAGCAGATTTGTCCAATGCAACGCATCTTTTGATTTTTTGACTGCTGCTTCCGTGGTAATCACTAATAAATTCTGATCTCTATACATTTAAGAGCTCAGATGCTAACCAAAAGGCAGGCAGTTCGAATCCACCAGCTGCTTCTTGGAAACCCTATGGGGCAGTTCTGCTCTGTCCTGTAGAGTCACTATGAGTCAGAATCGACTTGATGGCAAGGGCGTTGGTTTTATTTATTTATTTATTTTGGTTTTATACATTTGCCTATTCTAAGTATTTTATATTATCGAGATCATACAATGTTTGTCCTTTTGTGATTGACTTATTTCACTCAGCATCGTGTTTAAGGTTGGTAAATTTGGTGAGAGTGACAGAGTGAGTGAGATGACGGTGTAAGCATGAATTTAGGCATGAAAAAACCCTCTGGCAGACCGAAAGGCCGGCGGTTCGAATCCACCAGCCACTCTATGGGAGACAAATGTGGCAGTCTGCTGCCCTAAAGATTATAGCCTTGGAAACCCTATGGGGCTTTTCTACCCTGTATTACAGGGTTGCTATGAGTCAGAATCAACTCGATGGCAACAGGGCTTTTTGGTATTTCTTCTGCTCTTTGTGCTTCCCTTTCCAGCCTCTACTGAAGCTAGAGAGATTACCCTTAGCCACAGAGCAAGAGGGTACAGGTGTGCATCTTGATAGAAAGCGCCTTCTCCGGGCTTACTGTTCCCCAGGCACTGAAGTTCAGCCTTGTTCTGCTCTCAGTACCTGCCAAGCCCTTCCTCTCTGTGGCCTGGGAGGGGAGCAGCAAAGACGCTGACAGAGGGAGTTTATGAGGAATCGTCCGTTATGCCACAGCCTTCTTGTGTCCTGAGGTACGGAAGATGGGGAAAGGAAGAAGCAACAGTGGGGGAGACAATCTCTTTCTCAGCCACAACATCTTGGGATTCCAGGACCTGTCTTTTTGCCGTCGAGTCTATTCTGACTCATAGTGACCGTATAGAAAAGAGCAGAACTGCCCCATAGGATTTCCAAGGCTGTGATCTTCACGGAGGCAGATTGCCACATCTTTCTCCCAAGGAGCAGCTGGTGGAGTCGAACCACTGACCTTTTAGTTAGCAGCTGAGTGCTTAACCACTGCACCATGAAGCTTGTTTTAGGTATTCCAGGACCAAACCAAAACCAAACCCGTTGCTGTTGAGTCGATTCCGACTCAGAGCAACCCTGCAGGACAGAGTAGAACTTCCTTATAAGATTTTCAGGGAGCAGCTGGTGGATTCGAACTGCTGACCTTTTGGTCAGCAGCCGAGCGCTTAACCAATGTACCGCCATGGCTGTTTTAGGGATTCCAGGGCAGGGCGTGATAACTCATAATAACTTAAAGCCTTACATTTTATAGCACTTTAATAATTTTTAAAAGCACATTCCATCACTGCGTTTTATCACATCCGAGCAACCTTGTGAGGAAGATTTTACTATTCTCATTTTACAAATTAGGAAACCATGTCCCAAAGAGGGTCAGTGGGAGAAGGTGGCAGAGATGGAGCCTAGAACCCAGGTCTCCTGGGTCCCAGCCCTTGTTTCTCCCAGGATGTCGGGCCATGGGGAAAGGAAGGCAGATCAGCCCAGTTTCCTACAATGAATAGAGCTGGGTCTATAGCGAGTACATACCTGTTGCGGTCGAGTCGATTCTGGTCGAGTCGATTCCGACTCATAGCAACCCTGTAGGACAAAGTAGAACTGCCCTATAGGGTTTCTAAGGAGTGCCTGGTGGATTTGAACTGCCGACCTTTTGGTTAGTAGCCCTATCTCTTAACCACTGTGCCACCAGGGCTCCAGAGAGTGCACAGTCTATGGGGAATCCTCTACTCAAGTAGTGTGCGTGGGACCCAGTCTCCACACTAGCGGTTACACAGTTCCCGGCTGTGGTCCTGTTTTGTATCCCCGTATTAATATGGAGGAGGTTGGGTGAGGAAGAATTCACTGCAGTGCATCTTTTTGTTTGTTTGTTTTTCTCAGAGTGGATATTTTTCAGAGGAGGTATTTATTTTAAAACCAGCTCTGTCCTTTATCCGCTACGACCAGAGGTATAGAGTCCATGAGAGAACCAGGTTGGGTAAAGGACGAAACCAGTCCTTTGTTTCCTGTGAAGGGAAGGAGAAGGACTTTAGAGGCAGAACTTCTGGCATGGCAGGAAAAAAGTAGCTCGGCTCATCCCCTCCCCAAAAACAGCAGTAAAACTGAATGAAATTATTAGAACAACCATTTCATCGTTGTTGAATTTGACCAAATTGAGGAGTAGTTATTTGTGAAATGCTACTAAACTTTGGGTAAAAATAGTGAGAGCCTGTGGCATTCTTAGTGTCCCTGGGTACGGCAAATGGTTAACACGCTTGGCTGCTAACCGAAAGATTGGAGGTTTTAAGCCACTCAGATATGCCTTGGAAGAAAGGCCTGGTGACCTGCTTCCAAAAAACTCAGCCATTGAAAACCTTATGGAGCACAGTTTTACTCTGAGACATGTGGGGTCGCCATGAGTTGGAATCAACTTGATGGCAAACTGGTTTTAACTGGTGGCCTTGCCTGGGGCTGCTCCCATTCCAACCTGAATTCCACAGATGAGATAGTGTTATCAGGACAGATAAGCTGTGAAACAGCCATTCATGATAAAGGGCATCTATGAAAACCTTCAGCTAATGTTGAAGGATTGAATGCTTTCCCCTTACTGTCAGGAACAGGGCAAGGGTGTTTGCTCTCACCACTTCTGTTCAACATTGTACTGGAGGCTCTAGCCATTGCCATGAGCCGGGGGAGGTTTCAGGTAGGAAAAGAAGAAATAAGACTGTCTTCATTTACAGAAGCCCCTGAGTGGGCTGACTTGATTTGGAGTGGAGCATGGAAAAAATCCTAACATAAGTAAATTACACTCAAAGTAAGCAGTAGTAAGGAAATAATAAAGATTAGGATGGAAATCAATAGAGTAGAATACAGAAAGACAATAGAGAGAATCAATAAGACCAAAAGTTAGCTCTTTGAAAAGATCAGCAAAATGGACAAACGTTTAGCTACACTGACCACAAAGAAAGAGAGACAGAGAAAAGGCACAGATTATCAAAATCAGAAATGAAAGCAAGGGCATCACTACAGACCCTACAGAAATGGAAAGTATAAAAGACCCACTATAAACAACTTCATGCCAACAAATGAGACAACCTAGGTGAAATGGACAAATTC